GAAATGACTGCAAATATGAAAAAGAGTTCCCAAAGAAAACGTATTATTTTCAGATTTATCACTATTTTACCATCATCAGCATTCTGTATAAAAACTTCCTAAAAAAAAAACTGATGCTTCATTTAACACGGAGCAAAACACAACAACATTCAGTTACAGCAGTGCAAAAGTCCTTAAATACACACAGAAAACTACAGAATGCAATAAAACCATAAGCAATAATATGAATGTTCAGTCCTTTCCTTACAAAAAGTATACTTAAAGTTCATTTTAATAAGTAAACATAAGTAAAATTCAAGTATATTTCCCAAGCATACCTCCTGTAGTAAGTCCACTAATGTCAATGTATTAATAGTATACTTGTAATTGTACTATTTGAATACTTCTTGTGACTAAATTGTCACAATTTTTAGTTTATAAAAGGATTCTTTATGTATTTTTAGGTGCAAGAGTAAACTTTTAGTACACAACTAGTTTACATCTAAGTTTTATTTTGTACTGCAGCCAAACTGTGAACTATACTATAAATGCACTTACAGTTACTAATTATATACTAGTATATACTCTCCATCTCCCTTATCTAGACCACTCTAATCAGATCCCCTCCCTGCTGAAATCTCAAAAACAGGGTTGGAGTTAGTATTAGGTCTGGCTGGATTGTTAAGATCTGAGAATTGGGAGAATCGTGAACCACACTGAGGTTAGGTTCAGGAGTTGTGCTAGGATATAATTTTCTGCCCCCTCTAAGTTCACAGCCTGTTGGATAAACGTTTCTTTCATTCGTTCTCTAACATCTTTTCAAATTTCTCACAGAAAACTTCCAGCATACCCGCCTCAGTCTAAGAGCTTCAAATAATGCATGCAATTGCTTTATTACTGTATTTTTCGAGTATTTGAAAAGACAGGAAAGAGAGGTTAGATATGGGTCTGTAATTGGCCAAGTTATCAGGGTTGAGGTCAGGTTTTTTAAGAGAGGCTTTAATGATGGCTACTCTAGGATTGTGGTGAAGATGAGGAGGTAATGAAGGAAGTTTGGAGAGGAAGAGAAAATGAAATATATGGATAGAAGGCGAGAGCTGGAGAGAGTGTGTGTGTGTGTGTGTGTCTGTGGTTACTTTGGATCTCTACACTATCAGCCCTCAATGGCAAGCAGATTGGCATGTGGCCTGACAGCTCAATGTGTAACCACATGATTTCCATGTTTATCTGTGTGTAACGGTTGCACAACATCTCAGGAACTGTATTGTATACTGTAAGTGAACTTACAGGTACTAATTATATACTAGTATATATTGCTATTGTCGGAAGAAAACCTTGTATCTCCAAAATGCTAAATTTTACAGGAAAATGAAAAAACCTACTTTACTTTTAATGTAAGTCAATGGAACCAGACTTTTCTCCAAGTCATTTTGGGTCGTTTCTTTTGGTCCATTCATTATGAAATTTACATACAATGTAAACGTCAACAGGCATTTTCAAATTATGTCAAAAACTGAAAAACGACAAAAATGGAGATATGAGGTTTTCTTCTGACAACAGCGATATATACTAGTTATATACTAGTTATAGTATATAGTTATAGAATATGTTTTAGTTATAGAACATATATGAAATACACAAATATACAAAGCACACGTATAGGCCATATATGATAAGACTTCTGTATAGCTGTCAGTATAAGCCTATACTATACTAAAGTATTATATTGTTTAAGATATCTCTGATAAATACATAAAAATGTAACTCAAAGCATGTTCACTTATTTTTAGTTTAAAAGAAGTGCACTAATAGCGCACTTGAATAAACTGTACAAGTTAGAAGCTACAACAAATAGCGTTTAGTATAATAGGAACCATTCGAATTTTCTGTTGGTTTCTGGTGGTTTCCAGTAGCCACTAATGGTACTGTGTGTTTTCCTGATGGGCTGATATCACAGTCTAAAGGACTCTAATGGTTTATCAGGTGCATGCATGTTAAGATGCATTTGATAGTGTCCTAACGGGATCCAAAGGAGTCCTACAGAAACTTGTGGTCTCTAAAGGTAACAGTTGAGCCAATTCCCATTAGCAAACAAATCCTAATGGTTCTGATGGTCTTCTTTTCAGCAGGGCGGTTGAATAGGCCTAACTAAAGATGTGTATTCTGATAAAAAGGTTTCACTCTGCAGACTCACAAACTCACTCTGCAGCGCGCTGTGCTGTTACACCAATCTCTAACAGCAGGTGGCGGTAAAGCACCAAAAACTGAAGCAGTTTCCCCATCCGTATTCAGATAAAGGCCCGCCTCCTCTACCATGATTGGCTAATAGGGTCCTGTTTTCCGTCCTAGGATTGGCTGTAAACACGAATAGGCAGGAATAAGATACAGTGCAGCTGAAATATATCAGAAATACAGTATTTATATGTTAAGTATACAAATAAATTTTAGTGGAACTATGTTTATCACAAACCTTCATTCCTAGCAATGAAAGCTATGATTAAGCTTAGTATTGTTTCGAAATACTGAATCCTTGTTTTTCTTATGTTACCTTGCTGACAGGACTGAACAAATAACTGAGGGTTTCGTCCCAATTAATGAGCCCTTGATGCTTCTCTAAGAGACTCTTCACTAAACTGAACTGATTTTTCCCCTGAAAGGTAGAGTTAGCTGATACCAAATGTAGCTGATAACCTTTTGTATAAAATCTGATGTGCCTGTTTTATTAAATAAAACACTGTTGCACCATGCACTGAACAGGATTTTTAGTTATGACCTGATGACCTCACCTGGTCCCTCCGCACCAACACTATCGTGAGATCTGCCCATCAGCGTTTCTTCTTCCTGCGCAGGCTCAGGAAGTTTGGTCTGCCTCCTCAGATCCTCACCAACTTCTACAGATGCACCATAGAGAGCAGGCTGCATCACTGTCTGGTACAGCAGCTGCACCGCCTGCAACTGCAAGGCCCTTAGAGGAGTGGTGAGGACAGCAGAAGTCATCATAGGCAACGGACTACCAGCCTTACAGGACATCTACCAGTCCCACTGCCTCAGGAAGATCAAAAAGATTCGGTCAGACAGCGTCGGCCTGTTCACCATTCTGCCATCAGGCAGGAGATTTTGCAGCATAAAGGCTAGAACAACACGGCTAATGAACAGCTTCTGCCCACAGGCTGTCAGGCTTCTGAACAAGCTGTGAAGCTGTGGGTCCTTCCCCAACTACCATTCCACTCGGTCACTTTGTCAGCATTATCAAGATATCATATCATCTCTGCTACGGACAATAACACCTTCACACTAAGCCACTTTAAAGAACAATAACACAGACACTGAAGTCACTTTAAAATGTATATTGCCTCTATATGTTGTGTACATTTCTCTAAATTTGTGTATATTTTATCTATATTTTGTGTATATTTAATATATTTCAATTTGTTTGTTTTTTTTATATTTTACTTTTACTTATTTACTTTCTGTAGAGCGACTATCTGAGCCTCACCACAAGCATTTCAATGCATAAATGTCCTGACATGTTGTGCAAATGACAAATAAACTTGAAACTTGAAACTAGTTGATCTATTCAGCATTCAAAACTTTAAAACATTTTTACACAAATTAATTGCATGTAAATGCTCCCCAAGACCATTCAATTACAAAACATTATTTCAAATTCTTAAGCTGTATCAGAAAAACTACCCCTGGTTGTTTCTCTGTATGGTGTGGAGGGTAATTGTGTGATTTTCTGTTTAGAAAGCTACTACGTGATTTCGGACGCAGCCGCTGCAACGTTGGCATGACCTACTTCTCAACTGTCCAATCAGCGGAGTGCAACCAGCCAATCATAGCGCAGGAGGGGCGGGGCTTGTCGGAATATGGGTGGTTGTTTCTGTTCTGCAGCTGCGCTGTGTTTAGCTAATGGCTAACGAAGCAGCTGAAGCTACGGATGAGTAATAAGCTCTTCTGTGTTTTTGGATTATAAACAAGTGTCTTATTTATTTCTTATTACATAAATTGGCAATATGAGAAGTTTCCAGCTGGTTTGAAGGTAGTAATCTGAAAAATATTTAGAAACCTGCCAACTCTTCCTTCTCATATGTATACAGTCAGTCAAACATTATTCAAAATATTGTTTTACTGTACTGCCTTATCGTAACCTTCTCGAAGGTCAAGCAAGCAAAAACAGAGAATGCATGTAAATCTTTATAATTAAATTGACTATACATATTAAAGGGAAAATCCACCGATTTTTCAAAATGGCTGTGTAATGAATTTGTTTAGATGTCAACAAAGTCGTTCAGAGTGGTTTGGTGTGAAAAGCTCCGTTCTAGAAAAACTTACCAAGTCAAAACTGTTTATAATGATGGCGATAGGAACCAGACATCCACCTCTAAAAGCTCCCCACAGTACGCTGTTACATAAAAATGGGCATGGATATGTTGCCTGATGTTTTATGATAGCTTCGAGAAGAACCTTTGGCCTAAAATGTATATATATTGTAAAGCACATTCATGGCGGAGGGGTACATACAGGGCAGTTTAAGGCAAAATAGTACCCGAAGAAAACAGTTTCAGATTTATCACTATTTTACCATTATGAACGTTATATATATGTAAAACTCAGAGGATACATGTCAGTTAACTGGAAGTTTTAGATAGTAATCAAAATGGCTATATTTGCATTGTAGACATCATGATTCCTGGTTCCTATCACCACCACTGTAAAGAAATCTGAGTCTCTACAATCAACCATTTCACACCGAACCACTCTGAATGACTTTGTCGACATCTTAGCAGTTTAATTTTACAGAAACACTGAGATAATAAAATATATTTATAATAAAACAGAGACTTTCAATAAAGACTACTTAGATAAGCCTCGTTTTGTTTATGACCGAGTTGCTTGATCGTTTTCCCGTGGTTGCTATGGTGACGTGAACGACGTCTGAACTGTCCAATCAGTGGTCCGTGTGCCAGTCTGAGCTACGAGCCAATCGCAGCGCAGCAGGACGTGGGACCTGTCGGAAAACGGGTTGGAAATATAACGCTGCGGGAAAGGAACACACCGCGGAGGAGGACACAAACAGGGAATGAGCCGTTACAGAATTGCAGACTGACCCGCGGTCATCACGATTTACATCAGCGGATAAATGAAGGTAAGACGAGTTTTACAGAGCGCTCTCATATTGACTCCAAACAGGTCTGCTCTGCACTCGTTGCTGCTGCTGTCAAAAACACAGCTTGCTAGCTGGATAGCTAACACGATGGTTTTCTCATTAAGCTGCAGATAAATAGAGACGTTTTAATTTAACTGGACAGCTGTAGCCATAGTTTGGCCATGACAGAGTCGACGAGTGGTCAGAAGAAACTGTCGGCTTTTACAAGGGTATATACAGGCCACTTTTGCACTGTGACTGCTAAGCTAATGAGCTACCTGGCTTGAGAAAGCCAGTACAACCCGGGCTGTGTTCTAATTGCCTCACTCGCACACTAGCTAGTACACTCGAGTAAGAGCACTTAGTACGGCAGCACTTGGCACAGTTTAAGCCAGTTGTGTAATAGAGATTCATTGTTATGGTTGATACATTTATCAATAACTGATTTATTGATTGACTATTTATTTATTTATTTATTTGAAAGCAAGTTGACACCTATAATCCATAAATGAAGAACTGTGATTGTAAGGTAGATTACTGATTGATCTTTGATTAATTTTTATATAGCTAGCTGTGGCACAGCTAAATCAGTTAGACAGCTAGACAGATATTGTAAACGCATTATTTTATGTAAATACTTTACATTATTTATCAGACTTCTAAAGCCATTTGCAATGGTAAGTGAACGATACATGAGGAGTCTAGCCCAAACATTCTTATTAGTATTGCAGTGACATTCCTGCCTAGGAATCGAACCCCGCTCTCCTGTGGGTGAGTTTCCTTTGGAGTTAACTCAAAAAAAGGGAATGAACCTGATTATATGGTCAGAGCGTGCACAGCTGTAAAGTTCAAATTATCATTTGTAATTCCAATTTGTATTTTGTTGTATTTGTAATTTGTAATTGTAATTTGTCTTCTTTTGCCTGTCTTGTTCAACATTAGACTCATCCCCCCTTGATAATTTACAATATTTAGATCACCTCATTGTCACACTTTCCACCAGGGGACCCCCAAGACCTCTGCCACAGTTCGAACCCTGATATCATGCACCCTTAATTGACTTAATTACTCACTTCATTAGCCTACGTAATTAAACTACGATGATTTTTATTCAGTATTTTTATAAACTACCCTAAATCGAATTAAGCAGGTCTGTTTATATTTATTGTTTATAACCCATGTAGTTGGTCAGTGTTGATGTCAGTGTCCACGATGTGCTCAGAAAAGCGTATTGTGAAATAATTTATCACAATCATGATTACGTTAAAATATCCTCATATTGTCCATCCCCAGTTACTAACCTAATCTTTTTCAGATTGTATCTTTAAACTCAAAAACAGTGAGTTTATAGAGTTTATTTGCTAATACCGTAGAGATAAATGCATAAATAATTTTGAAAGTTTTATTCTGTGGAATGTACATGAGTAGGATTAACTTGCCATTTATCTGCGCTTTAACTGTGACGCATTCTGTGCAGTGTAGCTGCAGTGTTGCAGTGGCCTTAACACCCCAGCCAGGACTAACACAGAGCATGATAAAGTTCATACTGTACAGTGTAGTGGATGCATTAATGAAAACTTTCTGTTTAGTGTTTACGGTAGGTCTGCAGATGTAGTCAGGTGCAGTGAAGGGTCTGGCTTCAGTTTCAGCATTAATAGTGTTTGTCTGTGAACACAAAGAGGCAGATAGGGTTCCCCCATGATCAGTTTACTCTCCATGCCTGCGTGTGTGTGTTCAGGATTCGACTTTGCAGGAAAACCGGAGAAAAACAGGGCTTCATCCGTTACACAACAGCTCTATGTTTTATTTTTTCAAAACTAAAATAGCAAAATATTTTTTGGGGGGTTCCTGAGGTTGAAATTAGGGTTAAAAAACATGTTATTACATATAGATACAACAGTCAGAAACCACCCTTTAGTGAATTTCCCGTCAAAACAGCCACAAGTTCTTCATTTTTCAGGTGATATTTCTGAGGTATTTAGATACAAGATAATCCACTTGCATGAAAAATCAGGAGTTACCCAAACTCTTTATATCACACGTGTCAGGCTCCAGTCCTCACAGGCCAAAACACTGCAGACTTCAGCTCAGTGCCTCATTAAACACGCCTGTTTCAGCTCATCAGCTGATAAGCAAGGCCTTCATGAACTGAATTCACAGTGTTAGATGAGGGTAAACGCTAATTCCAACAGCACTTTGGGCTGGAGGGGTCCCCAGTTTGACATACCTGCTCTACATCTTACACATTTATTGTATTTGAGCTCCACTTCTGAACTTTGTGTGGTTTTATTTACCAAAAACATAATTATAATTAATTATTTTTCACATGGCTATTTTCCAACCTCTCTGCATCATAACTGGCTGTTTTTGTTATGGTGCCATTAAGACTGATATCTAAATGAGCTCTGATATGATTGGCTGAGCTGTATTGTGAGCTTCATTCAAAAAGGGCAGAAACACTCTTTATAACTTCATTGTGAGTGGGTGGAGCCAAACTGCTGAAGGCTAAATAGGCAGAAATATGATTTTTTGTGATGTCACAAAACAGTAAATTCAAAACAGGTTGTTTGTGCAGCACAGTTTTCAGATATGGGCTGTATTTTGAAACGTTAACCGTGTTTACGTATCACTCCAAGCTCTTTTATTCCAAAACTGTCCCCATCAGATAAACAGAGCTTAAAGCTTTCATCTTTGAGAGAGAGGAGAAAATCAAGCTGCTTCAGATCTGAAAACATCCACAGGAGTTTCTGTCCATCCTTCCACTGTGAGAAAGACGACTCAGCGCTGTGGGTCTGAAAGGATGTGTAGCTGTCAGGACACAATGGAGTCGAGATTTTAAAATCACTGAAATGCAACCAACTTCTAAGACTGAACTTTGGAGGTCTGGCTGTACATTTCTTTGAGAATACTGAAAGTGAGTCTCCTGAAAAGAATAGAAGCTGTAATAAAGGTAAAGAGACACACTAAATAATGTTTTTGTTGTATTAAGTTTCTTTTTTCCAGCACTGAAAATTGAATGTCACATTCAGTGGCTGTTGTGACTGGAAATGTAATAAATAAAGGGTGTTTTAAGACTTAGGCACAGTGTAACACATGTGGTATAAGACATGCGCTCTCTTATTTCTTGTCATAACCTTTTGTAAGGAGTGGATGTTAAAGTGAATTTCAGTTTATGGTTTGGCATCATGTGCTGTTACAATCCAGGACAGCTCAATTCTATCAAGCCCCATGATGAGCAGCTTCCTCGATACCGTCCCGTCCTAAATCGGCCTCCACGGCGGGTAAATAATAAATAGGCTGTTTCTAATCTCACTGTGCTGATCAAGACCTGTGTCACTTCTGACTCCTGTGGGTTTCTGCCTGTTTCTCTGTTGAACTAAAGGGGGCTGAACAGTAATGAGAAGAATCTCTGACTGTTTTGATTTAAGTAGACTTTGCTCTGCAGAAACATTGTTAATAGAACACTCGATAGGAACCTCTGAGATGACTCAGCACGTTCAGAGAGCACTCGATGGACATTTCAGTGACTCGGCAGATAGCTCAGTTGCTGAGTAGCCCGAATTGTTCAATACCACAGCTCTAAATGCTAACACAACACAGAGGAGCTAGCCTTTATTAGCCTGGGCCAGCTGTGATTGATTGCACAAACCAACAGGCATCTTTGGCACTGTATTTTTGGTAATGGCTGCTGGTTTATAAGTTAAGTGGCAAAAAAACTGCATACTTGACATAATCAATAATCACTTAGCCTCTTAACAAACGATGGGCCCACCAGCAGGCCCAAAGTCTTATTACACACTTCTATAACCTAAGAATAGCTCCATTAGTTTGCATTAAAGTCTCTGTAGTTACTGAATAATAAGCCTTTGTACTAAACCTGGATGTGAAGGGGTTAATCAGAGTTACCTGCCCTTCTGTAGAGATTATACTGTGAATTTGTGTTTACACTAGCATTCAGACGTTTGAAATCACCTGTCATTTAATAACTGATATTTAATAAGTGTGGATTGCAATGGTTTAAACTAGACACCAAAATGTAAACATATGGTCTATTCCCAGTTTAAAGCATTTTGGGAAAAAGTCTGAAGTTATAACATGATAGAAAATAGTACTTATTCTTAATTAATAAAACATAGTCCATTGATATTAATTTCCTGAAATAAAATACTAAGAATTGCTATTTGATCTGCAAGATTTGGTTACCGCTTCTTGTTTATGAGGCATTCTGGATATTACTTGTATTATAAGTTCGTTCTTAATTATTATGGAAACATCTGCAGCTCTGTTAATTATTAAAAATGTCTTCTTTATTTTATAGCTTTCTAAATTTTTTTGAAATCAATAGAATGTAGGGAGAGCAAGTCATTTTATACATGTTGCTATGACAAAATTGGTTTTAAGTATTTGAAAATGATTATATTATTATAGTTATCAGCCTGGAAATGTCATAGTGGTGCAGCCCTGAATATTACCAGCAAGTCCCACTGCTATGCTCATTATTAAATTCACCCTAAAATCCTAAGACAAACTTTTAATTTTGTTTTTATTATAACACATGCAAGTGGATTGTTTTCATCATCAATATTGAATAATTATTGGAGTAGCTTATAGGAGCAACGTGTTACCCCTGTGCTGTAGAGTGCACTGTCCCTATTGGTGCGTTCTGGCTCTCTAGAGCTTTCCTACTCTCTTCAAATGCATGCATGAATAGTTGCTTGAAAAGTGGCTCTGTAACACAAAAGACATTTGTGCTGACTTCGTCACGGTTCTGCAGTGGTCAGACAACTTGGTCATGAGTTCCAAAATGTCCTCATGCCACTGTGCTCTTGAGCCGGGCATTTAACCTTAAAGCTGACCAGTTTTCTAAGGTTACACACAAGTATTTTGGACAAAGTTTTTGCCTATGCATCTGCAAGTCGCTTACAGTCACCCAAACTGAATTTCACTCGAGTTGCGTAAAGTGAAGGATCCTGCAACTCACTTGAAACTCAGCTGCAACAGTTGCAAACGTCTCAACATTGTTTAAAAGTTTAATGAAAATGCCAATAATGCATCATGTGGCATGACATCATTCAAACAATTTTACCAGGTCAATGGACAAGAAAATGAAACATTGGAAGGTATTGGAAGGTTCAAAATGAGATCCTCCTAGATTGACTTTATGTAAGGTTAGTTGTTCTTTCTTTTGATCAGTTTCTGGCATTCTGTCTCTCTTTCAGGTGCTCATGCATGTTGCCGCTAGGTGGAACTAGAGGAGCATGGAACCTGACGTCGTCCGCCTGTACTCCTCCTCCCCTCCTCCGCTGGACGAGGGTGGAGAGGAGGAAGACGAGGACGAGTTTGGTGAGTTTGGAGGTTACTGCGGTGGAGTGTCCTCCAGCTTCAGCTTCTCAGAGTTTGACACGCCCACTACATTCAGCCAGTCACATGCAGCAGAGACCTCACCACCTGACCTGTACATCGCATCTGTTCAGAGCACCTCTTCGTCAGGGAAAAACACAACATTTACAGAGGCAGAGAAGCTCACGGAGAATCCCCAGGAAAGCTTAGCAGAGACCAGTGTTGGCATAGGTGACTGTGGGAATGGAGATCCAGAGGCATCCAGAATTGTCATCAATGGTGTTCCACCCTCTGACCTCCAGGACTCCAACACAGTTCAACACAGTTTAGCTTGCAATTCTGTCGCTCAGGACTTTGAGGACATCAACACGGACCAGCACAGAGATAGACTGGGCACAGATGGAGGACACAGCAAGCGTAACAGCGATACAGAGCAGGAGGTCCCAACAGTAACAAGCTTTAACAGCACAGAGACTGGCCTAGAGTTTTCCATTAGTCCTAATCCACCTTCAGCTGATAACATCTCCCAGGGAGAGGTATCCGAGACTGGAGGGACTGTGGCAGATGAGGTGCTAAGTGAATCCCAGGATTTCAGTACCAATAAGGGCGGTAAGGATCAAAGTATTGGTGAAAGTAAGGAAATGCAGGGAAGAGAAGTGTTGTCTGGACTTCAAGGACCTTTGGATGAAGAAACCTTTGTTTCCTTTAGTGATCCACCCCCTCACGGTGGGTCTGAAGACTTTGGGAATTGCACTGAAACCTCGGTGGGGCTTGCAGCAGAGGTTGATGAGGTGTCTAATACGCAGCTGAGCGTGGACTTTGTGGACCATAACGAGACTACAAGAGATCCTGCAGGACAGTTGCCGGTAGTGGTACCTGGTGCGGAGCTAGGAGGAGATTTTGACGTCAATGGGACTACAGTAGACCTAACAGTGGAGTTAGCGCATGAGGCAGAGGTAGATAAGGTTTTACAGGAGGGTAATGGCAGTTCAGGGGTTCCCAGGATTGAGATGGACGAGGACTTTGGGGATTTCAGGGATGCCGTTCAGGGTTTTGCAGACTTCAGCAGGACGGAATCAGCGGGATTCGCTGACTTTGTCACTGCGCTGTCAGGTTGCTCTACCACTGATGACTTTGGGGATGCAGACAGCCTGAAGGACTTGAAGGAGGAAGAGGAGCTACCTGAGGAACAACATGAAGAGGCTAATGATCTTAACACTGAAGGAATGTGGTGTTCAGAGCTCCCTCCCAGTGATAGCTTTGCGGATTTTAGTTCGGCTCCGCTTGGAGGTTTGACAGAGGGTGTGGGCGACAGCTGGGCTGCATTTGAGTTGCAGGGGGAGTGCGAGGACCAGCAGGAGTCATGGGCAGCATTTGACGAGGGGCAGCAGAGTAGTACTGCCACAGCGCCCCCTTGTGACAGCTTCAAGAGTGACCATGTGTCGGTGAGTTGAAAAAATGCACGTCTCATCCTATCAGAATAATGCTATAAAAAGAGCCTCTCTCTCTCTCTCTGTCCTGTTTCTGCTTATCAGTAGACCCAGTGGTCTGTGTAAATGACAGATAGTTTAGTGTTGAGGCAGGCTGCTTCTGATAAGGTAGGCTAATTTGCATCGCACAAACATTACAGAACTGAATAGACAAAACCAGAAAATAATGGCAGATTAAATGTTTAATTTTGGTAATTATTTTAAAAAGCAACAATAATGGATGCCTTGAGTTCATCTGTGTTATTTTTGGGTTCCGCTAATGCACGTTTCTGCTCTTTTCCCAGAATGCACCACTTTATGTTTGACTTACAATGATAAAATATGTAATTTATTTATTTATTAATATTTACAATATATGAAAATATTTTTCAAAGATTTCAGGTCAGCATCTGTCAAGTAAGAAGCCAACGTCAGCCATGTAGAGTTTAAGATATGAAACAATGTTTAGAGGTGGTTTGCTGAGGGCACAGGCCTAGTGTTAGAGCGCAATAGTGACTTAGGTTTATCCATATATTTCAGTTTTGTTTTTGCTATTTTGAACAATAAAATATTTCAGATTAGAAAACAGGTTTACTTATTTCAAAATAAAAAGTAGACTTACTTAAGCATATAAAATATTTAGATATGAATATGTCTATACACTGATATATATACCAAAAGTGAAATAAATTTTAGGCCATACTGCCCAATAGTACTGTCGTTTAACTCTGCTGCCTGTCTTCTTCCTCTCTCCTCTTTCTCTTACTTTGTGTTTCTCTTACTCTCTTTCTTCTTTCTCTACCTTTGTCTCTTGTTCTTTCTCAGGCTGGGTTGAGCTGCAAACTGCAGCATCTCTTTCAGAGCACTTTTCCCTCAGAGGTCACACCTGAGGTCGCACAGGTTGAGACCCTGCAGGCCCTCCTGGAGCTTCAGGAACACAAAGAGAACAGCTGCAACCCTGTTCAGGGGTAAGGATCACAGTCTAGTCCTCAGCATTCTCACTCATCTCATCACCTTCGCTGTTCTGCAGTGAGTTCTGAACACTTACTGGTCAGTAGAGGTGGGCAATCTGACAATATTTTACTGTTATTTTGATAAAGTTTGTTATCATGATAACATTTTTTATAAACGTATTGCACATATTGTCAATACATAAGGAATACTGACCAACTGCATGTGTGAGAACATAATTAGTCCTGATTTTGTGCAGCTGGGTATATGAAAAGTTGAATAAAAATCATTGTATTCATTTTTGCAGTTTTTGTATATGGTGAAAATGTCTAAGTATTTTGATATGATATTTTTGCCATATCGCCCACTAAACTTTCCACTTTGACTGCCATTGACAACATATCTTGGTGCCAGGGTCCCAAAGGTGAACAGTACATTGAATATTTCTCTTTGGGAGAATGGTTGTTATTTAAAACTAACACTTTGCAGGCAATATTAATCAGCCAAACATTGAAATAATTATCATCAGATTCTGATATAGCTTAATTTAATGCCTTCTTTGGGAATTGCACTGAAACCTCGGTGGGGCTTGATTTGGGGATTTGGAGACCTCTCTGGTGTAAATGTGTAATTGCATGCCATGTGAGGAAGAACACTTTGGTAGTGTAAGTTGTGCTTCACACCCTGAGCAGATGAATCTGATCATTGTGAGTTGAAAGAGTATTCAAAGAGAACTCAGTCAAAACTTGGTGAAGGACATGTCTTCTGAGAATGTGAGTGAAATATCTATGGTCATCATATCTTCATCAGTATAATGTTGATTTTGCATTTGAGACCTAAACATCGAGCCAGACCTTCTTTTTGAGCCTGTGCGTATGACGTCAATACGTAAAGACGTAAGATGTGGTTCGAAAAACTCCCAAGAAATCCAGCTTGATATCTCTGACTTATTATTTAAATCTAAATTATTATTTAAATCTTATCTACATTATGTTCACTTTGTAAGGAACCTAGTGTGTATTATATATATTATATATATATTATATATATATTATATATATGTGTGTGTGCGTATGAATTTCAGCCACTCAAATGTCAAGTGAAATTACCATACCATGTTCTCAGAAATGATTAATTTCTTCAAGAATTTATTTCTTAAATGTCACATTTCATCATTTCTTATGAGGTAGAATTGGTTGCGTGAACTGTGACCATGTAGAGATTAGAACACAGCCATTCTACTGCTTCACTTCACCATTTCCCTGTGCTGTCTCAGGGAGGCTGCAGTTTTGTGGCACCACCTGCTGGACACCCACAACGCCCACGGCCTCAAGGTCCAGTGGGTCGGCTCACAAAGCAACAGAATTCTGCTGGACTGCCTGGGAATCCGCAATATTGTGAGTTCTCATTCTCATTCAGTCTTTACGGATTTCATATGTGTACTGTGTGCGGAATGTGTCGGAAGACTAAAATGCCTCTGCCGCTGTCTTCTTTATTAATTTTACGCTGTGAGTGCTGTTTGAGCCGAGTTTGTTTATCCCTCCTGCAGTTGTTCACTGGTCAGAAGAGGCGACCACTGATCGTGCCTATGTTTGCGGCAGGCCTGGTGAGTTAGATGTTAAATGTTCACTGTAGCATTACCAGTTTGAACTACACAGCTTCTTCAGTAATGGATTCACTGTGACGCAAAACCTTAGCCAGTTGTTTAAATTTCTAGTGTGATCCTAATCTGCCTGTTTGATGTCAGCAATTTAATAAAGTGTGTATAATAAAACTATAAAACACTTGCAGTATTTGAAGTGACATAAATGCGATCCTTTTTAATATTAAGTACATGAAGTACTGTAAATCTCCTTTTTATTGCCCAATAAGATATTTATGTGGACTTTACCCCTTCACAGGCAGCACAGCCTAATGACCTTAGATTAGAAGCAATAAGCGTGTGTAGGACTGCAAGTACTGCAAGGATGATTAAGACAGATTAATTGACTAATATAACAATTTTATTTCCTGCTGAAGTGAGAAATTTAAACAATGGCACAAGAAAATTCATCACCCTAAGTATTAAATTGCTTTTGATTATGTTGCTGTTAATTGCTTCTTTCGCAGTTAAAATGAATACTCTTGATAATAAGAGACCCCTTTGACTGTGTTAATCACAACATTTTATTGTGATAGGCTAGTGTTTTAGGTTAGTTTAGAAAGTACCTAAGTAATTAATCTAAACATGTACTTTTTGATCTTTTTTGTCTAAAACGTTTTTTTTTTAAAGCTGGGGTGCAGCAGGGTTCCATTTTGGGGCCTCTGCTGTTTGCAGAATATACTAATGAATTATGCAGATGATTCCATTACCTGTTGTTCTGCCACATCACCAGCAGAGGCTCTCTTAACTTACTGGAAGCGTTTGTGACTATGCAACACAATCTCAGCCCTCTAAAATTAGTCCTTAATGGTAGAACAATGTTCCATTTTACGTAACTGTTTACTGGTTGTTTTCCACACAGTTACCCGAATAGGAGGTCTGTACTACCAGCGCAGGTCTACATATGAGTGCATTTGAACATCTCATAATCAACATATAGTCTCTCTCTCTCCATCTCATTCTTTCTTTTCTGTTTTTCTCAGGGAATGCTTGAACCTACCAAAGATCCTGTAAAACCTTCTCCAGCCTCTCCTGCACCTCTAACACCGTCCTCGCCAGGTCTGGGCAGGTCCACTCTATGCACACAGGTAAGGATGATGGAAACACATTTTAGCTCATTTTGTAGGTTGGGCTCCTAAAAGCTAATTCATTACAGAATATAAGACCTTTTTAATTACTCTTTTGGACAACTGTTATTCAAAGCAAGCGGTGTAAAGGAATAGTTTGGCTCAAAATCACATGTAAACAGCCCTCCATCCCCTTACCCCAGATGTGGTAAAAGGGGGGAAACTGTGTAATTCTAATTTTAAAACAGTTCGTTGAAAGGTTTGGGGAAATTATAAATGATATTATTGTATATAATTATAAATTGCATATATGAAAATGTGTACAACTTTACATATCATAGCTTTTATTTCATAATTTATATTACTGTACAAAACTGTATTGTACTAATTGGAATGGTGCAATACTGGTATATACTAATGTGTATTGTGAATATGTGTGTATATTTAGTCTTTTGTGTGTGTGTGTGTGTGTGTGTGTGTGTGTGTGAGTGTATGTACATATGTGTGTGTGTGTATGTATATATATATATGTGTGTGTGTGTGTGTGTGAGTGTATGTACATATGTGTGTGTGTGTATGTATATATATATATATATGTGTGTGTGTGTGTGTGTGTGTGTGTAAACATATGTAAGTATGTAGATGTGATGTGAGAATAAACATGATTTGATTTGATTTGATTCGAATAGTCATTTCAGAGTTTGTTTAAACATTGCGTTTTCTACTTATGTCCAGCAGGTGGCGTCCTCTTTGAGCAGTGGTGAGGACGGTACGTCTCAGCGCAGAGCTTCTTTCTCTGTAACGCAAGACAGAGCTCTCCGCCACTCTCGCCAGAAATCCTACTCCTGATACAGCCTCTCTTCTTCTGCGCTTGCCTCTCTTTCTCTCTCTCCCTCACTCTTTTCTTCTATACTTCTTTTTTCCCCCCCACACTTTTATACAACTCCTTTATGATCAGATCCAGGTCCTGCTTTTCTCTCTCTCTCGTGGTGCTTCCTGCCCTGCTCTCTTTTGTATAGAATGGGCAGCCTTAACCCAATGGGTCAGCCGAGTTGCTGTAGTCCAGTGGTTCCCAACCATCATTTTTACTCGTACAGTTCTTTAAATGTGGTTCCTGTGCCCCCCTTATATACAGTAAACCAGCATGATCTGAAATTTGTTAATTTAATTGATGAACTGGGAAAATATCCATAATTTACATTCATCTTTGCTTGCTAGCTAGCTTTCATTCCCATCTTAAAGTTCTTAGAGGTGGGAAACTAGATGGAATTTCTTCCATAGTATTTTTCCTCATAACCTCTTAGTAGCTGCTCATTTACCCCCAGGGATAAGGGTGGCTGACGTGGTAAAAACATACATCACAAAACTCAAAGACATTTGCGTGACACATAAAATGTATGTAACACATTAAAAAGCCTGTGAACAAGTTGGAATGACACAATGCACCAGCAAATTACAGTGCTACATTAAAAAAATATCAACAACTAGATGGAGAACACTCGAGAACAAACTTTAAGTTGACTTAACAAAGCTGTTGCTATGAAGCCCCAGGTGGTTGCTAAGGTGTTGCAGTGTTGTCCCAGGTGGTTGTTAAGGTGTTGCTAGGCCTTTGCTGAGTTTTCTCAGGTGGTTGTTAAGGTGTTGCTAGGCCTGTGCTGTGTTTTCCCAGGTGGTTGCTGAGATGTTGCTAGGCCTTTGCTGTGAATCCCAGGTGGTTGTTAAGGTGTTGCTAGGCCTTTGTTGTGTTTTCTCAGGTGGTTGCTGAGGTGTTGCTAGGCCTTTGCTGTTTTCCCAGGTGGTTGCTGAGGTGTTGCTAGGCCTTTACTGTGAATCCCACTTAGTTGGTAAAATGTCACTAAGCCATTGCTGAGTTTTCCCATGTGGTTGCTAAAGCATTTTTATGGTATTCCAGGTGGCTACTACGGTATTAGTTGGCTGTTGCTTTGGTATTGGTTGCTAATACATGTAAAAATATATACATATTCCTCCATTTATTTCCTATGGGCAAAAAAACGTTTGAACGAACGCTGTATAACAACCATGTGTGCATTTGGTCTCAGAAACATAAGCACACTATTCTCGTATTGGCTTTAAAAACTGCGAACCATGAAAACAGTCAAGCTAATTTGAGTATAATAACATAATGGGCCGACATCCAATCCACTACTTGTTAGTATACAGTTTCTGTAGTTACTGTGCACTGGTTGTTGTTGTTGTTTACAGACTCTCTGTAATTGGTGTAAATCTGTATATTGACATTTTATAACCGTGACATCATCATATTACCTGGAACACAAATACCTCTGGTTGGGAATCACTGGACTGTCACTATGGTCCACTATTCTCTACAGTGTTCATAACAGTCAAAGGAGAGAAGGTTATTCAGTTAATCTGGAACTAGATTGTTGTTTGTCCACTTTCCTTTATTCCCCCTTTCCTCTCTCTCTCTCTCTCTCTCTCTCTCTCTCTCTCTCTCTCTCTCTCTCTCTCTCTCTCTCTCTCTCTCGGTTTATGGATGTATTGTTTCATTGCAAATGCACTGTGAATTTCCAGTCGCTCTCAGCCTGTCTCTCCCTCGCTGGTTCTCTCTTTACTGTACCCGATATGCACTACCTCGTTTGGTCAGTATGAAGACACGACTGCGATAAGGTCTTCTGCTCAAATATGCAAAACTGCACACACAGTTATTTTTATCAGTAAGGAACATCAAACCCACCATTCAATCACAGTGTTACAGTTTCATTAATTAATCGTTTTATTAACCTTGTCAGGTTTTTGTCCTGGTAGGGACCCGTTTGAAGCCATTTCGCTATACAGAATTGGCCTGTGAGGAAAGTTTTATAGTATGATTATCACTCTGCATTTGGATGACTTTAAAAAGTCTTAATACATACTGCCTGTCAAAATTTTGGGGACGCATTGTCTTCTTTTGCAGCTTTTGCTGAAATGAAACAGCTAGTCTTTTGGGTATGTTCAGCTTCAACACTCATCAAAGTGTCTTCTTTTGGAATGAAGAGCTGATTTTGTCTAAATAATTATGTGACAGTTTTCTTTTCCACTTTATTGTTAAAAGCAGATATTGAAACTCTTTTGGCCCAAAGGTGGTTTAAACAGCTGAAAGGGTTTGAGTGATATTAATACATGACTTTTAGTTAGTACTGTCACTAATATTGACACAATTAGGGAAGGAAAGTGTGGAGGTGATGCGCGTTACAGGTTGTACAACATAATGTGCTGCCCCCACGTTCAGCTATACTGATGGAAATGAGTAAGTGACTTCAATACAGTAATACAGGATCTCCACAGTTATATTGCTGTGCAAAATATGTTGCTGTATTCATTTGTAGTGTGTTTTTATAGTCGTAAAGTGACTATTTCACAAAAAAGGCTAAAAAAAAGTCATTTTTAATCCGTTATAAATATTCCCCAATCGCCAAATGAATGTTGATTTAAAACATCCTGACACAACCAGCAGATGACGTAGGTCTGCGCTAGGGCCTGAGCACACACACATTATCTAAACCGCTTATCCTTCTGGGTCGCGGTGGGGTGCTGGAGCCTATCCCAGCTGTCATTGGGCGGAAGGCAGGATACACCCTGGACAGGTCGCCAGTCCATCGCAGGGCTAGGGCCTGACCGATATGACAAATTTATGGCCAATACTGATAGTGATTTTATGAGGCTAAAATCATAATTAATATAATTTTACGTTCATATTTAAATTTTATACTATAGTTTTAGTTAAATCGAACTTGCTATTTATGTCGGTCTTCAGTTGTTTTACGTCTTAAGCTTAAGTAAACAGCAGGAATTCAGGTCTTATATAATATATTGCAGCCCTTGGTGAAGTGCAAAGCTACCCAGAATGCTCTGCACTATTGTTTTAAGTTTTATAACTTCTTATTTTTCATTAGTTCTCAAAAAATTTGTGTGTGTGTTATCCTCATGCCAAAGTTTATATGCATTTTAATGTTTTTTGTAATAGTAACCATGATTCACCAGGTTGTGAGTTCGAATCCCAGCAGTGCTGCAACCAAAAAGAGGAGCTAATCATCTGCGCATCATCAGCAATATTATCAGTTGACCGATGATAATGATATTAGTGACTCGCGGTATTGTTAGTATCGGCCGATATTATCAGCCAACTGACATATTTACGCTTTCCTTCCTCATATTTACTCATGTGATCATCGGGCTTAACCTCATTCACTTTAATATGTTAGGTTATAGCAAACCAATAAATAAAACATGCCCATTTGTCTTAAAAACATTTTGAAAAGCAAGGTGTCCCCAAAGTTTTGATGAGCAGTATATGCAAAAAAAAAAAACTTAAATACTTAAGTATTAAAAATGTTGAGTTGTTGACCCAAATGGTGACAGCCTGTCATTCTATCACCAACTTTATAACTATCAGGTTGTGTCCAGCCATTACCAGTGGGTCAAACGAAGGTCCCATTTGGTATAAGCAAGAGGAAGACGTTTACATGGTTACTAATGTCCAGTAAACCCATGATGATAAAGCTAAAGAAAGCGGAAAGACATGACAGTTAATGAAACGCTCCCCTCGACATTGCTAACATAGCTAACAGTGAACAGCTAGCAGGAAGTAGTGTGGAAGAGGTCATTAGCTTCATGCTAACTAGCCCCTGCTAGCTGTTAGCTGCATTAGCAATCTTGAGGGCATGTTTCTGCACAATGTCATTAGCATTGTGCTAAGTAACCCCTGCTAGGTTTCATTCAGTATTGGCAACTTTAGCGTTTTTGGTTGAAGTGCTGCATTAAAGCTCATAAAATGTGCTGACTGGATGGGAACAGAATAGTTTTTTCTTTTCGTGAAGGTCAGTATTTTGAATTTAGAAAATGCTTTCTTTAAAATTTACCACAAATTCTTTGCATTATTGTATTTTACTTTAGCATCTACAATGAAGTTCAGTGGAGCAACCTTACACGTACAACAAAAGCCATAGAAAGTTAATATGCCTTTCAAGACTGTACATTTAATTCAACACAAAACTGTCCTTGAAAACACTATATTTCTGATCTGTGCTGTCTTTCTGTCTCATTTTCTTTATCGGTCACTTGTTACTCTTTCTTTATGAATAACGACCGACTGTGATTCTTCTCCCTGATCTGTCTTAAAGGATCTGCTCTCTGATGCACTTTATTTTTTTTCCTTTTTGTTTCCTTTTTTAAGCATGATTCCTATTAGAAAACACTGTGTTTTCGGTGCAAAGTCAATCTTTTGTGTCAAACGTTATCTCAGAATAAGTTAAATAAAAAGTTTTATATTATGATAATTCCTTTCCTTTCTGTCCTGTCCTGCTTTTCACTCTCTTCTCTGTCCTGTGCAGACTCTCCTTTAATGACAGCTTGCTTTTTTTCTACACTTTTTCTGCCTTCTTGGTGGTAGGTGTTGTATAATGTATGCTCACTGGCCACTTTGTTGGAAATGTCTACCTTGTTCTTCCTCTTTGAGTTCTATCGACTGTAAAAGTCCACTATATTTTAGCAGTAGAGCGTGAAAGGGAGTGTGTTATCACAAGTAACATTGCTTGCCTTGAGTTGGTGCCTGCAGTCAAATCACATCTAATTGCCATAACAAATGAGCTCAAGTGTTTTATTGCTTCAATACGACGGTACAGAAAAATAAAGAGAAAAAGGAAAGCAAATAAAACCAGAACATTGTATTAAATGTGCTCTTATATTGAGTACAGTAGTAGCCTTTTCAGCTCAGCATTGTCAGTAATATTGACCTCATGTGGTTTTGTT